CCAGTAGGTAAGAGGGAGCAGAGAGGCACCAACTTGTATCTTGCCTTCGCAGGATACAATGGCATTGTCCCCCAGTCTTCCATAGCAAACAGGAGTTATTTGGTAACGGGCTAGATCTTTTTCCAGTAAACGGTCCTGAGCACTGTCTTCCGAAGGCAAACATCCAAAGATTTAAAATTGTCCACACAGCAATGTTGATTGCCACACAACATCCATCACTTGCCTTCTCAACAAAATACCTAAGGAAGCAAGCTTTGAGCCAAAAAAAGCAAAGGAGGATTCTCACAGCTGGGCAGATTTCCCTTGTCTGTATGCCGCACCTACAGCTGAACGCTTGCTGCCCTGCCCACAGGCTCCCTGCGTCTGCTCAATTTTGCCAGGATCCTGAGCTTTTTTTTTTTTAGTGGTGATGGCTGTATTGCCACAGGGCTGTTTCTGTTGTGCCCTTAACAGTTAATTTACTCTTCCTTGCACACTTGCCTGAAATAGGGAACTGTAAATAATAACAGCAAATCATAAGCTTAGCCTTGTTCCCATCAGCATTTAAGACATAAAGTCTTGGTCTCCACTGCTAAACACATCATAAATTGGCTTGAAATGAGCAGTGAAGATGTTGCTCTCATCTGGCTTCAGCTGTTCTTTTATGAATGTGATGCCACAAAAGGACTATTACTGTGCGAATACTTTTGGACATTTATGTACATAAAAAAAAAAAAAATTAAAGCAACTTTTAGCAAGCAGAAAATGGCAGCACATACCAGCCTATCCTCACCAGAGTTGCTCTGTCTGTGGCAATTTTTGACCTTCATCAGAAAACAAGAATCAAGTGATATCAGCCTGATCTTAGGAATCTGAGTTGTGATATGCTGTAAAAGCATATTCTCCCACCTGCATGCCACGAGCACATTAATACCTCATAAATTCATCACTGAGTACTGAAATAGACCCTATTATACTGTCCTAATACCCATAATGCATAGTGAGAAAGAAAACAACTTTTTTCCTTTTAGACAGTAGAATAGTATCGTAGTGACTTTGCAGTGTCCCATCTTCAGTCACTTTCACCTTTAAAGGCTGTGCCACAGAACTATTTTTAAGGGAAACAAGATGGAACTCTTGACTTTAAAAAAGCTATCTGGTATTATGTGTTTGTGATATTGCACTGTAATTACATTTGCAAGGGCTGCCCAAGAGTCATATTTATTTAAATGGAAATCAGCTCAAACAATTGATATTTTTAGAAACAAAAACATGATATAAAACTTCAGAGGTGTGGCATTTACTCCTGCAATTTTAAGCAGGATCTTACATTGAAACTTAAAGAATTAAGAGGTAAGCTTGTATTATTTTTCTCTATTTTTCAGTATAACTATTCGAGATACTTCATTTAGAAATTCAGTCAGAAATGTATGAAACTGTTTGTTTGTTTTGTTTTATCTCTACCATACAGAATAGTTATTTACATAAATTGACTTACTTCTGAATAAGAGAATTCAGCAGAGAAGTGTATTTCTAAAGGGAAGGAAATGATTTTAAATGCTTCAAATACGTTGAACGGCTACTTATAAGAAGGCAGTGAACCTTCTGAAGTAAACACCAGGATTCATCTCACCAGAATTGAATCCACTCTCATAAAGCCTAATTCCTGTTTTTTCTGGCTAATATGAGTAAAACAGTAGTTAAAGATTTAGTCATGAGTCCTAGTCCGATAATCCTGCTTTGAACTGTTTCACAAATTACTATAGTAGTTTGTCTGACAAGCATGTAACACTATTGTATTCTTCTGGCACAAGCTCAAAGTAGATACAAGAATAATAAAGACCAAAAAACCTACCAACAAAAAGCAACATCAACTGGTTTTACTTATCCTCTCTTGAAGAAGCAACGTATATACCACACAGCTATAAACAGAGAACTACTGCTTTGCTCGAGGAAAGAAAAACAGATGCAGAAAACAATCTGCAAACCTAAAGCAGGAAGCAGGTTTACACTCTACAGCCCAGAAAATCATCTTTATTAATTTCTTTGGGTGGCATGGGAGGGGAAATAAACAAAGATGATGATGTGAGATTTCATGAAACTCTAAGTGTAGCCTTTTTGAGTGAAGGCAAGTATTCCTGGTAAAGCTAGGTCATTAGTGAGATTTTAGAAAAAATGAAGAATACAGAGCATCTATCTTCGGTCTTTATTTCCTCTATGTAGTCCTCAATTTAGGATTGTTTAGTATATTTCTGTTCAGAATTATCTAATGCTCTGCCCGGACTTGCAAACTCATGCGCATACAGGAAATTCATGCACCTAAATCTTCTTCATTTCCATGCATTCATTTAATACTTGCAGAACATGGCAATGAATAATTTTGAGAAGATATATTTTATTGTTACATGAATTATGTATTTATGGATGGAAATCGCATTTCAAATTAATTAGTAATATATACTAACTAAAAGGAGGCTATCAAGAATAGTCAGCAGGGGTTCACCAGGGGGAGGTCATGCTTGACCAATCTGGTAGCCTTCTATGATGTTGTCTCTGGTTGGGTGGATTGGGGGAGAGCAGTGGATGTAGTCTCCCTTGATTTCAGCATGGCATTTGATACTGTCCCCCACGACATCCTTATAACAAAGTTGAGGAAGTGTGGGATAGATGAGGGGATAGTGAGGTGGGTTGAAAACTGGCAGACGGGCAGAGCACAGAGAGTCATCATTGGCGGTACAGAGTCCGGTTGGAGGCCTGTAACTCAGGGGTCGGTGCTGGGTCCGGTCTTGTTCAACATCTTCATCAATGACCTTGATGAGGGGATAGTGGCCACCCTCAGCAAGTTTGCTGATGATAAGAAGTTGGGAGGATTGGCTGACACGCCTGAAGGCCGTGCTGCCATTCAGCAAGACCTGGACAGGCTGGAGAGCCTGTCAGATGAGGTTTAACAAAAGCAAGTGTAGAGTCTTGCATTTGGGGAGGAATAATTGCATGCACCGGTACAGGTTGGGGGATCACCTGCTGGAAGGGAGCTCTGCGGAGAGGGACCTGGGTGTCCTGGTGGACGACAGGTCGGCCATGAGCCAGCAGTGTGCCCTTGTGGCCAAGAGGGCCAATGGCATCCTGGGATGCATTAAAAAGAGCATGGCCGGCAGGTCGAGAGAGGTGATCCTCCTCCTCTACTCTGCCCTGGTGAGGCCTCATCTGGAGCACTGCGTCCAGTTCTGGGCTCAAAAAAGACAGAGATCTCTTGGAAAGAGTCCAGCAGAGGACCACGAAGATGGTGAGGGGCCTGGAGCATCTCTCCTATGAAGAAAGGCTGAGTGATCTGGGTCTGTTCAGCCTTGAGAAAAGGAGACTGAGAGGGGACCTGACCCAGGTCTATAAGTATCTAAGGTAGAGGGGGCAGAATGGCTAGGCAGGAGTCTTTTCAGTGGTGAGTGGAGACAGGACAAGGGGAAACATCCGGGAACTGCAGTACAGGAAGTTCCGCTCAAATGTGCGCAAGAACTTCTTTACAGTGAGGTGACGGAGCACTGGAACAGGCTGCCCAGGGAGGTGGTGGAGTCTCCTTCTCTGGAGATGTTCAAGACCTGCCTGGATGCCTACCTGTGCGACCTGCTGTAGGGAACCTGCTTTGGCAGGGGGGTTGACTCGATGATCTCTGGACGTACCTTCCAACCCCTGCAAGTCTGTGATTCTGTGAAAGAAGGCTTCAGTGCTATCCAAATGTGAATTTACACACTACACGGGAATTGCTAACTCATGGCCTGAACCAATGATTGAGCACTTGATGAAGGGGCACAGCCAGCCCAGGGATAATGTATAAAAGCAATTCACTTGTTTGACTAGGAGTGGAGCCTGGTTCCACCTGTCCCAAAACCTCATTGAAGGCTGGCTGCCATAAGAGTGGGGTCTTTTTTTGTTGTTTTGCTTGCTTGTTTGCTTGTTTTTGAGTATTTGATAAGCCCTGCTCCTTGGGATGGGTAAGCATATATTTCTTTCTAGTTAAATTAAATTAAATCTGGATTATGACTGTCACTCTTTTTGGGGAATTTAGAACTGATTATCTGCTATTGCCTCTCACTCTGTGAGACTACTAATGTTAACTTAGGCATTTTAGCACAAGTGGAGGAATAAATGAAATGATGTCCTCAAAAAACAAGTGCAACAAAAGGACTGCTAGGATTTTTGGATTTTTATTAGGATCGATTGCATGTAGTTACTAAATTTTGCATCAGTGTTACAGAGGCTAAGTATACAAAACACCAATAGGCCTAATGTTGGGGGGGAGGGGGGAAGAGAAAAACTACCAAAAAAAAAAAAAAAAAAAAAAAAAAAATGTAGTCTGTATGCTCTTCTCATATTTACATGAAATCCTTACAACTTTGGCAAGCAAGAGATGGAATATGTATACTATTTCCCTTGATAGATGAATCCATTATCCCCTGTTTAGAGGCAGTTGCTGATGGAAATACCTGTCTTTGAGACTTCCCTTGTAAAAAGACGTTTTTGAAGTAAGACAAACTTCTTAGAGCTGACCAGATGTTATCTCTCATAAACCAAAATATTTCCGTAACTAACATTCTGTAGAAAGCAAATACTCTCATTATCGGAATTCCATTGAGTTAGTTCCTTTAAATGAATGGATGACAGCCTTCTGATTTCTTACTTCAATTAATACTTTGTTTCAAATGAAAATAACACTTTTCCTTTCCAATGTTTCCTGTGAAGCAAAGGTTTTTATGCTATGTTAAGAAAGAGTTTTTCTTCATGAAGATATAAAAGGTGTCATGCAATGCAAGACAATACAAAATGCCTAAATCCTTCAAAGGTTAATGAGCGTTGAATTCAGACAGAAATTTCTGTTTAATTCAACAAAGCTATGGCAAATTTTGCTCGTCTCTTTCAGAATAACTATTAGCCCCAGCTTCCATTATCCTTTACAAGAACTGTAATAGCAAGAAGAATGGTAATAAAACAAACCACATAACCCAGCTTTTTCATGCATTTTATATCAGTTGACAGTTCAAGCTCCAAGAGCACCAGCCACTGTTGGAGTTGTTTCAGTGAGAAGTTCACACGGAAGCAGCTCTAAGGGTGTGGAAACTACAGTAGCAAAGTAACTTACTTGGAGTAAACATAAACCTAGCAGTTACTTGCTCTGCTACAGTAAGGGAAAAAGTAGACAGGTAAGGAGATGTCTGCTGATGAGCCACAGGCTGCCAATGAGATACGATTGGATCTTGATTTTATTTTCAGTTATGGTTTAATCTCCTTAAGCAAAGTTGATATGGACTGGCTTTTGTTTTTAGTTGTGAAACATTGCTAAGCATTCTAGTAAGGTAGTGACAAGTGACTGGTTTTTTTTTTTTGGGGGGGGAAGTGTGCTGGTTTAATTTTTCAGTTTCTCAAGGCAATATAACTACTCTTCAGGCCACTGTTATTGTGCTCTTCCTCTACCTTCCCTTGTTTTTCTCCAGCCTAACATAGGGAGACATTGCATCAGTAATTAAAAGTGCCAGCACTCTAGTGGGTTGCAAGGCTTTTGGTACCAGGCCACTTCTTCAACTAGTGGACAATAACATTAATCAGGAAGCAATCCAGACGTCCACCAGAGAAGAATCATGACCTGCCTTGTTTGAATTAGTGCTGGATCCTTCCCAGATGAGTTTGCACAGCTGAAGCATAATTAAATTATAGCTCTTACATCTTCACTGTGTTCCTGTGTGTCTAGGACAATGAATGAGGACGTGTCTTATAGGGATAGGTCTTCCAAGGAAAAAAAAATAGAATTAAAAGCCTCCTTTTAGATTAACTATTGGTCAGAGCATGAAGACTTCAGCTGTAGCTGTTGTGGTTTGTCTGTTCAAAATGAATCTCTCCAAGGAGATGTACTCATAATGGCAGGCTCTGTCGAAGTTCCTGTTAAACTGCCACTTGAGAAAGAAATGACTTCAGTGGAAGAATCATTTTAGTTCTAGCTTCTAGCTTAAGGAATTTAATACAAGAACTACTGAAGGTCAAGTCTAGTAGAAACTTTCATGATGATGCCCCTAAATGGTGGTCATCCAATAACATTTTTTAAAAAATTGTAAGGTCCTTTTAAGCTATTTTGTTGATCAACTTATACCTCCAGAAAGCTCCTCCAGACAGCTATGTAGGCAAACTGCAAGGAAATCCTGAAGATTTGCAGGATGGTCCAACCCTTTGTGGGGAACAGAGAGGGTCCCCACACTCATAGGCATCCTCAACAATGCTGGGAGGAAGTTAGGCTCACCAGCATCCTTAGTACTTCCTCATGTCCAAGGGACAAATCTGGACAGACTGCCCAGGTGTGAGCAGGCATGCAGCTGGGTGCCAGCCAGGGCACTGCAACTTGCTAGAGGTTAACTGGGTCTAGCAGTGTGAGACATCAGTTGTTTTATTATTTTTTTTAAAAGACAATTCTTCTCTCCTTCTGTAGAGTCTCTGGATTGGCTTTGCTACGCTGTTACCTATTTGCAACATTCCATGCTACTTTGAGGCAGAAACTTTTCATAAGCAAGTAAAGACCAAAAGGAGGCAGGCAAGAGCTACCATCCTCAAAAGATGCACTGCTTGGGAGCAGTCCTTACTTCTGGTAATGGACTGTTGGATACAGCATTGTAATTTGAAGTCAGTTCAATTTGAAGTTCAGTTCATTGTAAAACAGAAGTCAGCACATGTGGTAACTGATGTTTGCTAGAGAGATAACAATAAATCATCCTTGAATCAATTCTAATGTTCTGAAGACTATAAATGTTATGGGTTTATCAGTATGTTAAGTCTAGTGCTACAGAGGCACACTGCATTTTGGAAGTTGTAAGATTTTTTTTAAATTATTTTATTATTTTATTTTTTTTGAGAAGTGCTATAAATTAAAGAACATTGCAGGAAAAACAAACAAACAAACAAACAAAAAAATGGTGTCCCATCAGAGGTCCGACCTTCAGAATAAGCAACACTACCTTTCTTATGGTTTACAAAAGACACTGCTTAAATTAGTTTGAGATTTGCTTGGGCTTAAATTTAAAAAATAAATAAATCTTGCATCACTGCTATTCAGTCATTTGCAACCTGACATTAAAGGACTTCAAAAAAATTTGATTTCTAAGACAAGAGAGATATTAAGTAGAACCCATAAAGCTTCAGTTCTTCAATTTCAAGCCTTCAGGGAGACTTCACAGTTATTTTTTTTCCCAGAGGAATGCCTGCTCAGCCCAAGTTTTAATTCCAGAGAAGGAAATGGAAAAAAATTGCCTTTTAATAAGACAATTTATGAGTCTATTCTTCAATTCTTTGTAAGCAGTAGTCAGAGCTTCTTGTAACCTTGCTCTTCCTTATTAGTGTTTGTGTGCATATACACATTTCTAACTCATTTTGTTATATTTAATTTACTTGTATTTGACATTTTACTGTTACAACTGTTAAGAAACTAATTTAAAAGGTTCTAAAAATTCATTGTTGTCATCTGAAAAACAGTAATGTAATCTCTATTTAGAGCACACATTCTTAATAGTAGCAGTTTTGGTACCAACAGTCTCTTTGAGAGATCTATAATGTCATGGCAACCCAGTATTTATGCTGCATATAAATTCAATTATTTAATAGCTCTGAGTGTACTGTCTACAGAACTTCATTAATCATTTTATTAAAAAAACAAAAATCCTTTGTCTATACACGTATATTTCTAAAACAATTCTTAATTATACTTTACTCTTCCTAATTAATATAGCAACGTTCTCTTTAACCCTTGGTATTTTCTAATTTCACTTTTGGCAAGCAATCTAAGTGCCTGAGGTATAAAAACAAACACAACCATTTTGTTACTTTATCTGAGCTTCTGATACAGAATTGAATGTTTGCGTTGTGGTTACCGAATTTTCCAGTTAGATCAATATTTGTGAAGGAAATGTACTTGGCAGTAATGTGATCCCCTGTAATCTTTGTGTATTTTCAGAGTTGTATGCATACAGACGTGTAAAGCACATGCCTGCTCACACACTACACTTGGAATGCCTAAAAAAAAATATCATTTACTACAATATAGATAGGGACATAGTTCTGTGCTTGATTTACTGGTTACATGCTATTTGCTTGTTTTCGGTCTGTTCCGATAGCATGTGAGAAAGCAAAAGTAGTAAATTATCGTTTTAACCTTGAACTATGCTGGGAGTGCTATCACGCAAAAAATAAACAGAGATATGTAACTGAATGATAAATTCATGTATGATTTTAAACACGGATTGAATACACCAAAAAAATTCTTCTAACCTTTCATTCAATTATACTGCTAATCCCATTCTCAATCTTCCTTTTTCGTATTCCATATCAAATTTAACTGCTGATACCTGGGCCTGTGACACTTCCACCCAGCTTTGACGTAATGCTACCTTAACTTCTGTAACCTCACCTCTGTAAGTCTGATCTCAATCATGCAGAAGCTGAGCATCCCTACCCCTAAATTGTTCAAGTCAACATCATAGCTGCAGATAACATACCCCTGCAAAAAGAGGACATGCTGATATTAAGTATCACAAGCCAACCTGAAACAATAAGGTTAGTCTTTGAATAGCTGCTCTTTGCCCTGTACGAAGCCTAGACAAGACAAAAAAAAAAAAAAAAAAAAAAAAAAATTGAAACTAATATTAGTTAACATTTTTTAGCAACGTTTAATTCATGCAGATACCCAAGAACACATCTGCATAAAAAAGAGTAACTGGGAAAAGATCTTTAAAATATATTTTATTACAAATTCCTAAGTTCTTTAATCAACTTGACAGTTACTGTAGCACGGATTCCAGACAACTATCAATTACAAGTGTTCACACAGCCCTGCTAGTCCTACCAATATTACTGAGAAATCAGTTGCTTCATTAAGATATTGGTTGTATTCCAGCAGATCTAATTTAAAGCTTTATTAAAGATATATGAAGACATTCACAATATTCAGATACACATCTTTCTCAAACAGGAGTGAACTGAAAAGAATACAAATATTCATATAATAATATACTCAGTAATCTGCTGAAATTCAGTGCCTGTGTTTTTATTTAGGTGAATGATATACAAATAACAGAAGCATTAATTTGCTCAAACATTCTTTATTTCCAAACTGGCTTATTTGATGGTGCTATTATCAAATATAATTCAGTAATGGTTAAATTAAAGGGCATTTCAAGGCATCAAGTGGATCAGTGTCTTTTTGTTGTTCTTTGTTTCTAACATGTGCAAAAATAATTTTAGTATGGTGGTGTGCATGCATGCTTTGTACTTGAAATGTAATTGGTATCTGTATTCTGAAGTGAAGCAGGGGTCCGTTTTTCTTCCAAAGCACTGATTCAAGCTTTGAAGATGTTTGGATATACGTTGGGATTTATAAAGATGGTGGTATTTTCTGAAATTCTGCAGTTACTCTTTCCCCATTTAACTTACTAAGGTGTAAAGACAGAAGCTGTAACCATCCAAAAAGCTTTTTGAAGCCCTGTGCATCACTATTTCCATTTTTTTTAATGTTTTCATCTTAGGCCAACAGGATTTCAAGGTAGAACTTAATATCTAAGCAATTATATTTCTGGGCGTTTCTCTAACAAAATCATTCAACTTTCATGTTTGCAAAGATACAAATGTAATATACCGCAACGCTGCTTCTTAACAGAGCAGAAGAACCTTTGAACTGCAGCAAGGTGATAGGGAAGGAAATATGCCAAACTGGAATTCTTCCCTGGTGTACAAACAACATAGAATAGATAAACTATAGATTTGAAACATCAAAGGATGCCTTCTTAATCCATGCATTCCTGATAACACTTCTTACTCTCTGTCCTAAACATGCACACACTTTTTCCACAGAGTGCAAGAAAATGTATCCTATATGTGAATTTATGTCTATAACTCTGAAAAAAAATCAAGCTGATTCTCGATCCCTATTACAAAATGCTAAAAATGTGAAATCACATCTTGGTCTTGATAAAACAACAAGCACTAAAAAATATCAGCTGGAAGAGCATGTAACATCACCTGGTGTTCATGGCCAAGGCAAAAGGTTATTATATAAGGTATTTATACCTACACATAGCTTGTCTGCTACAGCAAAATTTTCCTTCTCCACTGAGAATTATTTCTGAGCTTTGTTCCACTTAACAATTTCACACAGCTCCCATATCCTTGGTATTCCCTTCCTCAAGAATATGAAATAAGAAAATACTTCCGGATTGTACAGAGGATACCTAAGATCTCAGAAAATAAGGAAATAGCTGCATAATTAGCATCAGAGAAAAGAAGATGGTCCTTTAACCAGTTCCAACTAAAACTATTATTTTGTTTTCTGTACCTTTAGATGTACAACCTTGCTTCTACAAACTTCATAACCGAAGAGTTCAGATGACTGCTAGTCAAAGAATCCGGTGAGTTGGATGTTGATCCCATCTTTTCCTTAACCCTTTTTTTATAATACTATTTTTAACACTGTTTCTTCCTCCGTACTCTTTTCTTCAGTCCCAGCTTTAGTGAACACTGAGTAATTTCCCCTGGGGAAAGAGAAGTGTTTATCTGGAATAGTTTTACATTTTATTTATTTTAATAAAACTCCTGAAGCAGTTTTATAAAAGTCCACGGTTTCTCTGAAATCACAAAATATATTCCTTCCAGTCTAAAGTGCATTTTTCTGATAGCTCTATAGCTCGCAGATTCTCTGTATGCTTTTATATATATATATATATATATATATATGTAGGTGTATATATATACTTATATATATGTATATATATATTCTGAGATAGAGACCCACAAAGTGATTTATTCAACAACAGTTCAGTAATTACCTTTTCTCACTTCCCGTCTGTTCACTACTGTTTCTGGCATATTAGTTTTTAAGGTCTCAAAGTTCATGAGAGTTTTTTGCAAGAACTGTGATATAGTATTTCCATTATGAATAGTAATTTTGTTCTCAACTACTGTAGCTGAATACAGTGGCATGTAGGCTATCTGGTTTCAGTATTCCACTGTAAATTCCTTAGGGTTCTATGTCAGCAACAATGTATTTAGAAACCTTAAAGAAGCCTTTTCTTTATGTTGATCGTATCAACATATCCTCATCAGTATCCTCATCAGAATAGGCTCATGATATGCAAGGTTTTGCTGGGAGAAAGATGCAGTGGTAAAAATTACAGAATTCTCAGCATCTGTAAAATGAGAATGAGACTCTCATTTAGTTTAGGTGTTCTATTTTAAGGAGGAAAAAATACATCGCATCATTATTCTTTGTCTTTTGTTCTGGGATTTGATGATTGGAATGATTTAAGAAACGTGAACATTCTAGCTTGATGTTGTCTTATTGATGTTAATTAATTAAAGCTTGTAATACTGTCCTATTGCTATCTCTACTTTAAAATTTGAAGGAAGAGCTTTCTTTGTACAGATTACACCTTTATTTACACATACATTTAATTTCACGTTTGTGTGTTTATATAAGCAGAAACATATGATCTATATATGTTTCTATACAGAAATATATGATCTTCCTAAAATATTAACTACGTAATATTTTTATCAATATGAATTGATTACAAAAAGGAAACAATTAAGTCAAATTTTTCTTGTTCCAATTAGGAAAATAAAATATCAATTTTATGCTTGAGCCAAACCTCTCTAATGAAACCCTATTGAACTTGTTCAAACTGGAAAAAAAACTAGTTTTGAGTGATCTGACCACTGCTTGAGCACAGCTTTAAGGCTACTGAAATGTTATGAACAAATTGCTCCTTAAGAACTTTGTAAGGTTGGTTCAAATATTAACAGAATATTAATTTAAAAATATCTATAACTTTCT